TTGGATAGTGGCGCCAGGAGAACAAAAACCAAACTAAAATTTGTGATCGAGTCTTATCTAAAGAAATTTCGTCTTTATAATTGCTTTCAGCAATCGACATGTCAAGGGCCAAAAAAAAATTAATTTTTTCCTTAAGGAAGCATCGCTATGGTCCGTTGTGCTTGAAATTTGGCACGTACGAAGCTTACTGCCTGGATTATCGTATATGATACTTTTTTTCTGATAGGTGAACCATATACCGGAGTGCAATGAGGTATAGTCATTGCGCTGGGTATACAGTTACAGTTGCATGGCTATACTCAAACCCGACTCTTGCGTCCTCGTTTGCGCACTCTGGGCAACGTGAGCAACCCAAGTGCGAGATGCGGTAACCCATCCGAGTGGAGCCTTGGGTCACGGCAGAAAGAGAGGGAGCTTCGGTGGGGCCACTCTGACTTATTCGGTTTAAGGGCTCACTGAAGTCTGCAGCGTCTGTTCACCAGTAGGTGCGGCTGCAAGCGGGTGTCTGCTTGGAGCAAGCGGCTCGCTATATAAACGTGTATTTGGTAGTGAAACCACCCCCGTCCCAGCAATGGGTTGTGCGCTGGGCTTGGGACCCGCCACGTAAAAACCACTTCCAGTGGAGAAGCAAGGCAAAGCCTCGGATGAGACCCCTCCCCCCCCTTATGATGACGTCCACGGCAAACGTTTAAAGGACTACGATTTGAGGGCATGCACCTGGAATGTCCGGACCCTTAATGGGGAAGGTGCCTCTGCCCGGCTGGTTGATGTCCGCGTAAGGACAAAAGCTGACATCACTGCCATCCAAGAAATGCGTTGGACGGGGCAAGACAAACAATATCTGGGGCCTTGCGACGTCTACTATAGCTGCCATGTAATGGAGCGCAAATTCGGAGTTGGATTTGTGGTGGGAGAGAGACTCCGTCGCCGAGTACTGTCGTTCCCCCCGGTGGACGAGCGTCCAGCCACAATCCGCATCAAAGCGAGATTCTTCAACATCTCGCTCATCTGCGCCCATGCCCCGACGGAAGAGAAGGATGAGGCATCCAAGGATCTCTTCTATGAGCGCTTGGAGCGCACGTACGAGCGCTGCCCCCGTCATGATATCAAAATCGTGCTTGGCGAGTTCAATGCCAGGGTGGGCAAAGAAGGGATCTTTGGAACCACCGTCGGAAAATTCAGCCTCCACGACGAAACGTCCGACAACGGATTGAGGCTGATCGACTTCGCCGGGGCCCGAAACATGGTAGTATGCAGTACTAGGTTCAAGCATAAAAAGATCCATCAAGCTACGTGGCTGTCTCCGGATCGAAAAACGAGAAACCAAATCGATCATGTGGTGATAGACGGAAGGCACGCTTCCAGTGTTTTAGACGTACGCACACT